GAACAGGTATTGTGGCAACAAGAACAGGGATTTTGGCTTTGTGCATCGGCGAAGAGGGACAAGGGGGACTGTTACATACAGAAACGCTGCGCATACTATGACGTTGATTGGGTGACGACATAGCAAGACAGAAATAGAGTACGGACCTTTCCATGCCATCAAGAAGCGGCTGCAGCACGGTGATGACGCATCGCTGGAAGAGCATCACCTTCTCCACGGCAGACATTGCAGAAGGGGGCATAGGAAGGAGAGCAAGTAGCGTGTGCCCGGCTTTCCCCCATCGCTTGGCCTGGGAGATGTTTGCAAGCGTCATCATTAGCGGCCACGCCTTCTTCCGGCCGTTGTTGCTCATGTGCGTCACATCCGAGTATAGGATGATACCCCCCACGACTTCGGACCATCCAAAGTGTTCCTGCAAAGCACGAAAAAGAGGGAAAAGGCACACGGTCAAACACCAACAAGGTAACTTGTCGCCAGGCGGACTAAGCATGCTTCAACGAACTCCCCACAAACATGACACACTGAAGATGCTCCCTACACATCAGCGCATCAACGGAGGCATGCGCACTCTTCTGGTTTTGGGTGGCAACGGGGTATTTCCATACCTGAACATCGTTCCACCACGTTCCAGTTTCCGGCGTGGTATAGCGACGCTCGCCTGTGTCAGGGTCCTCATCGACACGAGCCTTGAGCTTGAAGCCGGGCGCGTTGTTGGTATGCCCAAACAGTTCGGCAAACGCCTGGCGTACAGTGGCAAGAGTAGGAGAGAACCAAACCCTGGTTAGGGGCGTTGAAGGTGGGTCAGATCTCACACAAGCCTAACAGAGGCAACGTTCAACAAGCACCAAATGGATGCGGAATCTGCATTTCACAGCCACGGATCCAGATTCAACTTACCTGCGCAGAGTTCTGGAAGAGAAGGCGCTGTGGCGGATGACCGTCAATCTCAAAGGTCGCCACTGACCATCCGTGATTGAGCCCGACCAAGCGCTCCATCTCGAACCGCTCCAGATCCTTGCAGTTCCGGATCTCTGAGATCACAAGAGGCGCAAGGCCGGGCTCCACCACGAGCTGAAGCATGCCATTGATGTCGATCTCCGCCATTCCCATTCCGCCATTTACGCGCCGCACGAAATGCAGCAGCTTCAACGCAAGCGGATTGAGGGGCGTGGCATTGCTCTGCCCAGAGATGCATGTCGGCGGTGCGGCGTGACTCTCTTCAGGGTGGCTCTCCGGGTGCTCACTCGTGTCAGAGGCAGGTGTTCCGGGAGGCGGTTGATGCTCACTTTCAGGAGCCCCCACGTTCACAGCCGAGGGTGTTGCGTCCCCGTCAGCTTCGGGCACGCGAGAAGGACCATTCACACCGTCGGTGTTGGACGCGTTAGACGCGGTAGGGGAAGCGGGTGCAGCGGGAGCGTCTGACAGAATGTCGTGGACGAACAGCAGAGCGTGTAGACCGGCGGACGGTGCAGACGAGGAGGGCCTTGCCACGGCGGAAAGCCCTTGACAAGGGGTCCGCCGTGACTTATGGCCGCCATAAACCTGGGCGTTGGGGAACCATCTGTTGCAGAACTCGCATACTACGCCTGGCAAAGAGCCCATGTATTCTAGATCCGTCTAAGAGTGGTGGAACGTAGTGTGAGGAGACTAGCCAGTTTGAAGCTTGTAAACACTTTTACTTCACGGTCAATGAAGGCTCATACTCCAGCACGGTCATCGCCACAGCGCGAAGTGTCCACGGCGGCTTGGATCTCTGCACGCCTGGCACTTGATCGTGGCGCATTAGTGAGAGACTGGCTAACGATGGTCGCGCAGCGCGGCCGTGACAAGGCTAGATACAGACCGCCGACAGCACGGCATAGGCCTTTCCTACAAGGCGTGTCGCCCCCTGTTAGAGTGATTACGACGTGAGCAGGGCCTTATGCAGTGGTGTACGGCTAGCTTGGTCGCAGGCGTGCGTGACGAGCACGGTGAGGAGTACGTGCCTCCATATTCAAAACTTCGGTTTTTGAATCGTGTGTGAGAGTCGAGGTGGGAGAGGAAGAGAGGGAAGAGATCTGTTTGGTGTTGTGATTCTTTCGAGAGTCTCTATAGGGGGGAGATCGCGATCACGTAGGTGTGCCCAAAGTGGTGCGCACCCCCATAGCCTTAATCCAAACCAGGTAATGCCATTGTACAGTTACATATAACAAATTACTTAATGTCACTCATAAAGTTTATACGACCATACTTTACGGCATGCTCAATACCTTCCGGCATATTGACAATGGCATTGTTTAGAAACAACACCGTTAGTGTGGTCTGCTACCATTTGGGAAGCAACACCATTCCACAACCGTTTCACCATGTCGCGTAAGCCACGGGCCTAAACGCTGCAATGTCGCCGCGCCTGAACAGCGATATCGATAACGCATCACCGCTCGTGCGTTGGACCAGTGCTTCATGCCACACCCTCCATGCACCTTGTCGAGGGCCCACGCAAGAATTGAGCCCAACCCAACACCATTCCCCAACGGTTTCACCATGTCCCGCAAGCCATGGGCCTGAACGCTGCAACGTCGCCGCGTCGGAACAGCGATGTCGAGAACGTATCTACGCTTGTGCGTTGGGCCTGTGCTTCATACCACTCCTTCTGGGCGCCTTGTTGAATGTCCGTGCAAGAATGGATGACAATCCAACACCAAACCACAACGGATTCACCATGTCGCGCAACACACAGGCCGGAACGCAGCATCGTCACACTGTATAAGCACTGCTGTCGAGAACGCATCTGTGCGTTGGGCCTGTGCTTCATACCACTCCTTCTAAGCACCTTGTTGAATGTCCGTGCAAGAATGGATGACAATCCAACACCAAACCACAACGGATTCACCATGTCGCGCAACACACAGGCCGGAACGCGGCATCGTCGCAGTGTATTAACACTGCTGTCGAGAACGCATCTACGCTTGTGCGTTGGGCCTGTGCTTCATACCACTCTCTCTAAGCACCTTGTTGAATGTCCGTGCAAGAATGGATGACACTCCAATGCCATACCACAACGAATTCACCATGTCGCGCAACACACAGGCCGGAACGCGGCATCGTCGCACTGTCTAAACACTGCTGTCGAGAACACATCTACGCTTGTGCGTTGGGCCTGTGCTTTATACCACTCCTTCTAAGCACCTTGTTGAATGTCCGTGCAAGAATGGATGACAATCCAACACCAAACCACAACGGATTCACCATGTCGCGCAACACACAGGCCGGAATGCGGCATCGTCGCACTGTCTAAACACTGCTGTCGAGAACGCATCTATGCTTGTGCGTTGGGCCTGTCCTTTATACCACTCCTTCTAAGCACCTTGTTGAATGTCCGTGCAAGAATGGATGACAATCCAACACCATACAACAACTTCTTCTCGTTTGTTACTATTCGTCAACACATTCGTTTGTTACACTTTGTGTGTGTGACATGAGACAAACCCACTACCGGCGGCAACCCCATACTAAACCATTAGCATCAAAGTTTTGGATGTTTTTTATTGTTGTATTTTTTGAAATTTATTCAGCGTACATGTTCAACACTGTGCGTTCACGAGATCACTGTACTTTGCAGGGATAAGGTTACGTTCGCACTTGAGGTTCTAAAACCATCATACCATGCGTAGAGATTGATGCGTTGGCAACCGTGATTGGCCAATGCATCTCAAACGAGTCCCCACACAACACAAGCACCAGCCAAGAGGTACTTCCGCCATTGAGCGGATGAGATCGAGCGGTAGGTGGGTTTATGCACGGGTGGCTACACGTACACCGTCCGATATAGCCTGATAGGGTTACAGTAATCTCTATAGTCTCGCAACCCACCCCAACCACCCTCGTGCCCCACCCACCTGCTCCCGTCACCCTCTGTGCCAACACTTAGACGCTGCTCGCTGTTTGACGAGCGAGTTTCCAGATCGCCCGTGACTCACTAGTATACTAAGTCACGGGCCGTAGCTCTGTGATGAGTGGCTACTATTTCAGTTTTAGTGATAGCAGCGGTTTTCGGAGAAACATAACAGTGATAGGCCGTCGTTAAACACTTCGTGGGATTCAGTTGTTGCGGCCCTTCAAAACAGGCTAACCCGTTTCGCGCGATAGAAATTGGCATTCCTACGGCAACCATGACACGTGCCACACGTCAACAAGCAATGGAGGAGGAACAGGCCAGACGCCGAGCGACAAGGACGATGTCTAAACGGACCGATAGGGAGGGTGGCGGCGGCGCTAAGAAAACTAATGCGTCCGTTGCGCGTGGCACTGGGCTGAAAAAAGTGGCGGCAAAGAAGGTCGCGCGCGGTCAAGAGAAGTCCGACAGGAAGGCGGCAGACAACAGGAAGCAACCAATGCCACGCAAGCGTGTTTCTACAGTGAACAAAGATGCGGATGTTGCCTCAACTGGAACCACGCCCGGTCCGACGAACGACGGCACCAGTGGCGGCAACGAACATCCGGGGCGAGGGAGCACGAGTCTTGCAGTCCCGTCGGCGGAGAGAGAGGGATCGGCGACAGGGGGAAACCACGGAGGCAATCCACGCGCCGAGCATACCGCAACCAAGGAGTCCGAGGCGGAGGCATCTCAACACCATCTGACACTGCTCCAGCCGAACGTGGTCGAAATTTCTGCTGCCATGCTGGATAAGGACAAGGTGGGGGAGCACGAGTCGATGGAGGATCCTAACCACGGCATAGCCGACGTCGGTGGCTCTCCTCCTTCTGGTGGACGGGGGAGACGTAGGCAGAGGAAGAGCGATGAGGAGGACGATTGTGACACCGCCGTGCCCGGGGACATCACCACGCGGGCGAAGAGGCGGCAGACGACAAGCAGTGTCGACGACGCCGATGGCGCGGAAGTTGGGAGAACGCGAGGCGCCAGTGAAGCTAGTGGCAAAGCGACGGGTCATGCATTGCGCCAAAAGGGCTGACCTGCAGCAAGAAAAACATCCGGCGGAAGGAGGGGCAAGAAAGCAGCGATGAGGACGAGGCCGAAACAGGGTGGTGAAGACCCTGGTGAGGCCGATGAGGAGGATGATGAGGAGGAGGATGCGCAGGAAGAGGAGGATGAAGAGGATGCGGAGGAGGATGACGCGGATGTTGGGGAGGATGAAAAAGATGAGAATGATGGCAGGGAGGACGAAGAGGAGGAGGAGGAGGAGGAGGAGGAGGAGGAGGAGGAGGAGGAGGAGGAGGAGGAGGAGGAGGACGAGGAGGGCGGCAACGATGATGATGAGGAGGAGGATGAGGAGGAGGATGAGGAGGAGGATGAGGAGGAGGAGGAGGAGGAGGAGGAGGAGGAGGAGGAGGAGGAGGAGGAGGATGAGAAGGAGGATGAGGAGGAGGAGGAGGAGGAGGAGGAGGAGGAGGAGGAGGAGGAGGAGGAGGAGGAAGAGCAAGGGGACGATGAGGAGGAGGATGAACAGGAGGAGGAGGAGGAGGAGGAGGAGGCAGAGGAGGAGGAGGAGGAGGAGGAGGAAGAGGGGGAGGAGGAGGAGGACGTGGCGGCAGTGAAGGGACGGGGCGGGCGTGGCAGATGGCAGAGTGGTACAGGGAAGGTGGGGGGCCGGACTCGCCATTCCCGAAAACGCGGGGCAGTTGACGCCGCGCGCGGCGCAGCAGCTGGCAAACCGAAGGCGCGTAAGGTGAAGGTCGAAAGTGAAGGGGGTGGTAAAAAGCAAGGGCGCCAGGGAGCAAAAGGGGATGGAGGAGGTAAGGGTGGCGGCGCCAAAGGGGTTCCATTGGGTACTGGCAAGAAAGAACATGCCGGTAAACGTCGCAGCGGCCGTCAAAGCACCCCGCGGAAAGGTGGCAACGAGAAGGCGCTGGCCCCAAAAAAACCGAAGGGACAGCAGAAAGGTGAGCACCCTGGCCAATACACCGGGCGTGGTTGTTGCACTCTCTGCTCAACCATGCCAAATAACACCATTCTACACGTTGTTTCTCCCCTGCAGGGAAGGAGAAGGACGACGAATCTGCAAAGAAAGGTAAAGTCTCCTGTCTCAAAACAGTACACGGCTAAGCCCGATTTAGATTCAAACCATTGATTTCATGCATGACTGTCTGGCCCTGTATTGATACCGATCGGCTTTAATTTCTTGATCCTACTCCCTCTAAATCTCAGCCCCTCGCGTTACAGGCATTGGGCCACCAGTAAGCGTGCAACGGATGCAGCTAACGAAGGGGGCCGGAAGAGCGAGTGTGACGCCGCTATCCACAGGAGCCCCAAGGTTCTTCACGCCGTACTCCGGCCCGAGCAAAGTCGCTGCGACGGCTCCCGGCGCGCCAAGAGGAGAGGAATCCGAATCACCTCCACCAGGCCCCGTCACGCACTCCCCACTTGCCTCACCCTCGTACCCATTTCGGCCGCTACACGCTTCTCCTGTCCGGGGCAGGGCGGTCTCCCCCCTCGCTGGTCCTTTGCGCGGGCATCAGCCAAGCACTTCTGCCAATCCCTTCCCTGAGCTCCCCTTTTCCCGCCAGCGTGATAGTGTGAGGGCACACGGGACTGCTGAAGAAGATGCTGAAACCCTTGGCCAGAGGGGGGATTCTTCACACCCTTTTCCACCGCTCATGGGTGCCCTAGGTGAAAGTGCGGAGCACGAGCAGTTTGTTATACGGGAGGAGTTCCAGGCGCTGCGGTCTGAGATGTACGCCATGTTTGCACAGCTCAGCCTACGTCGTGGGGTTTTGCAGCCGCGCCTATGGCTGGTACCCCGCCGCCGATGAGTGCCGTGGACAAGGCACGAGTGCTAGTGTTGCAGGAGACAAACCCATTCCCGGTATGTGGTGGGCCAAATGGGTGGGTTGGGGGTGACGTGGGGGCTTGGAAGGGTACACGGGAGCGGTGCGTAACGAGGTGACTCGTGTCAGGTGGGTGGGGTGACGTGGCATGGGGTGGGTGGGTGGGTGTGACGTGGCACGTGGGGCTGGTTGTTCCCTGATGTGGCGGATGGAGGAGGGTGTGACGTGGCGGGATGTGAGGCTTGGGGCTGACGTGGCGGCTTGGACGGGTACACGGGAGCGGCGCGTGACGAGGTGACGCGTGTCAGGTGGGTGGGGGGTGACGTGGCATGGGGTGGGTGGGTGGGTGTGACGTGGCACGTGGGGCTGGTTTTTCCCTGACGTGGCGGATGGAGGAGGGTGTGACGTGGCGGGATGTGAGGCTTGGGGCTGACGTGGCGGCTTGGACGGGTACACGGGAGCGGCGCGTGACGAGGAGATGCATGTCAGGTGGGTGGGGGGTGACGTGGCATGGGGTGGGTGGGTGGGTGTGACGTGGCACGTGGGGCTGGTTGTTCCCTGACGTGGCGGATGGAGGAGGGTGCGACGTGGCGGGATGTGAGGCTTGGGGCTGACGTGGCGGCTTGGACGGGTACACGGGAGCGGCGCGTGACGAGGTGACGCGTGTCAGGTGGGTGGGGGGTGACGTGGCATTGGGTGGGTGGGTGGGTGTGACGTGGCACGTGGGGCTGGTTGTTCCCTGACGTGGCGGATGGAGGAGGGTGTGACATGGGAAGTTCACACAGTCCATCCTGTGGTCACGCGGCCACAGTCATAACTGATGGTTTCTCTCTCCCCATGTCATGTTGTAAACCCCACACCCCTGCGCAGAACAAGGCCTACTTAGTGTGCTCTCAACTCCTGTTTCTGAACCCCCCGGAAAAAATCCAGTACTACCCTGCACCGGAGGAAGTGTTCGAGGCGTTCATTGTCCACTTGTCTGCCGAAGGGCTCGAGTCAATGAAGCTGCTGTGGTTGCACAACGACAAGTCAACCATGGGTGTCTTCAACCACCAGATGTCGTCAACCAGGTCAACAATCAACAGCACCCTCAGGCCAGCAACGTACGCCGGCATGGGCCTCTCCGATTACGCCCATCTCGTGGATACGCTGCCCACTGAGCTACACCCAAAGAAGTGGTTCAACCACGAGGAACTCCTAGCCGAGTACAGAGATGGTATGTGCGACTCGAACACACCATATCCCCCTGCCCATATGCCAGGTGGCAGCTACAAATAACCGTGCGGTGTTCCTCACCCTGACTCTCACCCAGCCACTTGATTTCTCTGCACCCCCTTTCCAACCCGTACGCTCCCTCCCAAAATGCATAACAGTGGGCCCTCAACTGGCACTTTGACAAGGCCACCGGAACGCCCTTCAGCAACCCCTTGTTTGCTTATGCGTTCAAGCTCTCCTTCAAGAGGGGCGGGGTCGTGTTCACCAAGTTCAAGAGCCGCATGGTGGCATGGGGCCTGTTTTCGGTAAGGATATAGATATGTGTCTGTACACCCATGCCTCATCCCCTAAACCCCTTGCCTGTACTTCATCTAAATCCCTGGTCGCTTAGGCGTTTGCGGTTACGTAGGGTGTGTCGTCTTCACCGCTTTCAGTTGGCCCATATACCCGTAACCCCCCCCCATACTCCATCCACCCAACCCTACACCACATTGCAGATCAAGTGGCCCCTTCTGTAGGATAAGCGTCGCAAGCGAATTCCGGCCAAGCCGGAACAAAACCGGCCGGGCTACTTCGAGTGGTGTGACAAGGTCAAACAGATGATACACTTTGCCGTCGTGGAGCGGCGGATCCCACACGATCCGGCTCAGGGTGCGTTCATCTTCCCGAACAAGTTCCTCATCGACGATGGCGACCTTGGAGATGTCATTCTTGCCCACCGGGCGATTGCAGGGCCCAGCATTGCGTAGGCTATTTGACCTGGTGCTAAAACTGCTGGTTGTTAGAATGCTGAATAATGGTTGTTGTTAACCGGAATATTGAATGTAATCCTGAAATCCTCAATACTCAAAATAAAACAAAACCAAAATCCAGTTTTAAATAATTTGGTACCGAAATTGCACCAAAACGGATTGCGCCGGAATGTCATCCGGAAAAGCTCGCGTGCCAATTTGAAACTTGACCCGAGCCAAACCTTGTCGCGAGATGTGTGTCGGAGCTCCTATCAAATGATTCCAACCGTCGGTCGAAATTGGGTCCGGATTTTTTTACACGAAGACAACCCCAATCAAAATTCGTCCAAACTTGGCATAGGGTTTTTGTGATGGAGATCAAGGAGGGGGTTAGCATAATGAGGGCAAAGAAGAGGGGGAAATGGGATTTAGCATGGGGGTCAACGGGGTTGAGCAAGGGAGGAATGTGATCTAACAAGGGGCGAGCATAATAGGGGCAAGGAAGGGAAATAGGATCTAGTAGGGGGGGTCATGGGGTTGAGCAAGGGAGGGTATAATATAAAGCAGGGGGGAAATGGTATCAAGTAGGGGGGACAATGGGGTTGAGAAAGGGGGGAATATGATCTAGCCGATATTGGCTCGCAGCACACTTTGCACTAAGTGGTTGAGGTGAGCAGCACGATTGGCGCGTAACGCACTTCGCGCTGAGTGCGTAAGGTGAGCAGCGAGATTGCCGCTTAGAGCACATCGCGTAAAGCGGGTGTGGCAAGCAGCGGGATTGGTGATTAGCGAACTTCGCGCTAAGTGGGTGTGGCGACTAGCGGGATTGGCACTAAGCGGATATCGCGCTAAGCTGGTGTGGCTAGCAGCGAGATGGACGCTTAGTGTACTTCGCGCTAAGCGGGTGTGGTGAGCAGCGGTTGAAGCTCGAATGAGGACATGCGAGCAGCGGGGGATGCGAGCAACGAGTAAGGTGATGCGTGTGGGGCAATAAGCTTGGCCTGGCCAGCGCATGGAACATGGCGAGCCCACAAAGGGCAAAGCAGCGCAACAGGAAGGTGGGGAGATTTCTCGCAATACGAATGTGCCACTATTGAATGCAGCGATTACATTGCAGCGGGACCTCCGAATGCAACTCGCCATCACAGCTAAGATAGGTTACAATGGGAGCGCAGTATGCAATATGGCAACCTCGGCTCTGACCACATTTTTGTTGTGGCGAAATCCCTTAGAACATTGTGTATACACCAACAATGTGCCTTATGTATATAGGAGCTTTGAAACAACTCTTAGATAAATATTATCGCGTGTGAGGATCTAGGATCGAGCTCAGGAAAGAGAGTTGTAATTGAATGATCCACCTGGGTACAACACGAGGCTATATATAGTCTCAACACAGGGTCATTTAACCAGGTGTTATGTGAATGTTCCGAAGGTCGCAAAGCGTCCCGAACAGAACCTTCCCGAACTCGGTACAAAGCAATTCGGTGGAAACCGAATAGGCTTGAGTTCGGTACACGTAACCTGGTTCGGTGCTATAACTACAATAAAATATAGGAATGCACCTAACCTAGGAAATCAAGCATAACTATGCATGATAAAATAAACCCAAGCTAGTAATAGCATGATAAAGCCCACGCAAGCTAGCAAAGCCAGCATAAGCCGTCGTACTCTCACACGTCCCCCCCTCAAAGCTGGGTGGCGTAAGATACACCCTGCTTGATATGATAGTCTTGGAGAGCACGGCGTGCATTGCCCATATCAGCTTCTGCAATCCAACTGTCCTCACTGGGGTCGTATCCCTTCCAGCGGATCGGGAACTCGAGGGTCTTGCCGCCGCGGCGCCGATGAGTAAGAACGCGCTCCACTTCATACTCGGGTTCATCCTGCATGAGAACAGGTGGTGGTGGCGGTAGCTGCCATCCCTGGAACTGTTGGTTGGGGTCCTTGTAGGGCTTCAGTCGCTGAACATGGAAAGCATTGTGAAACTTCCACGTAGTAGGAAAGCGCAAGCGGAATGTTACTGGTGCCACCTATGCCTCAACGAGAAAAGGACCACAGAAGCGAGGCCAGAGCTTGGATGGTAGGTGAGACAGGTTCAAGTTGCGCGTGTCAAGAAGCACCTGATCTCCGACTGCTACTGAGTGATCACGTCGCTGGCGATCGGCATACTGCTTCTGGGAGTTCTGCATTGTGGTGAGACATCGCTGAGTCTTCTCCCATAGTTGCTGCATGGTGGTGACGAAGTCATGTACCGCTTGGACGTGTGCCGGTGTGGTTGGCTGCTGTGGTATGAGTGGTTCCCGTCCGTAACACAGGAAGAAAGGAGTTTTCCCTGAGGCCGCATGTGACGCGTTGTTGTAAGCAAACTCTAGGGTCGGTAACTGTTTGTCCCAGTCGCTGACGTTGTCCTTGCAAGCTGTGCGCAGTAACTGTTCAACCACTTGATTTAGTCGCTCTATCTGTCCGTCAGTCTGGGGGTGGTATGCTGAAGACATCGCAAGCTTAGTCCCCAACAATCCCATGAGCTCCTTCCAGAACTTACTCGTGAATTTGGGGTCTCTGTCTGAGATGAGTGAAGCGGGGATGTCGTGGATGGTGATGATGCGGTCAAAGAAGAAACAGGCAGTTGCTTCAGCTGTAGCCGTGGCGTTGGTCGGGATGAAGTGACCCATTTTGGAGAACTTATCAATCACTACGAGGATGGCGTCATGCCCTCGTGAGGTCGAAGGAAGTCCCGTGATGAAGTCGAGGCTAACGACTTGCCATGGCTGCTCCGGTACGGGTAGAGGCTGAAGTAACCCTGCTTTTTTCTGCTTGCTACTCTTCATCCGCTAGCACGTGTCGCATGAGGTGACGAACTGCTGCATGTCTGTTACCATACGGTGCCAGTAGTAATACTTCACTATCCTTGCTAACGTTTTGTTGCTCTCGAAACGTCCCGCATATGGTACGTCATGAAACTCCTCAAGTAGAATCTGTCGAAGCGAGGCATAGTTCGGTACCCAAATCTTTCCTGTTCCCTTCCTTACAGCTAAG